TGAACCCAGGTCAGCCACGTGCAAGGCAAACACCTTACCTACTGTGCTATGACTCCAGCCCCTTTTTTTTTTTCAAAGAACACAAAAATAAATAAACTCTTAAAAACACAGATAGAGCTTGTTCTGTCTTGCAAATACATGTAAATCCACTGAACCCCATAACAATTTTTGGCATTACTAATTTAATCTCTCCTGACTTTAAACATTTTGCTGTATCAGCATCCTAGGAATTATTTCAACACTCCTCAAAAATTAATGCCAACTCTACTTGAAAAGACAAAAATAAGAATACAGAGAAAATGAGAGGCTCCTGTGAGTCGACAGTCATCTAAATCTTCACTATTACATCATCTTATATTCTTTTTTTCCCCCTTTATTTTATTTTATTTTTTTTACAGTTGTAGATTTACAATTTTTTGTGCTTTGGTTTCAATTATACAATGATCAGATACCCATCCCTCCACCAGTGCCCATTTTCCACCACCATGGATAATATCCCTCCCACCCCCATCCCCCCATCCCCCCTGTCTCTGTGGCAGGGCAATCCCCTGTGTTCTCTCTCTCCTTTTGGGTGTTGTGGTCTGCACAAGAGGCATTGAGTGGCAAACATGTTCAGTCCATAGTCTACTTTCGACATGCATCTCCCCTCCTGGGAGGATCCTCCAAACATCCTTTATTTGGTGCTCCCTTCTCTATCTGAACTGCCCTTTCCTCTAGGATACCCGGCTGGCCTCTAAGTTATGGAGTAATCCTCCTGGTGCTGATCTCAGCTATTCTTGGTTATTAATCTCATACTTTGTTACTTTATATCCCCCAGATGAATGCAATCTTTCTATGTCTATCCCTCTCTTTCTGACTCATTTCGCTTAGCATGATACTTTCCATATTGTACCACTTGTATGTAAATTTCATGACTTCATCTTTTCTAACAGCTATCATCTTATATTCTTATTGTGCTGTGTATGATAGGAAATTGCCTATTGAAAATTGACAGGTTATTGTTGTTGTTTTTTAACTAAAGTTTTAGCTAATCATTGATGAGAATTCAGAACTTTCCTTTTCTTCCAAAATAGCAATGAAAATTGCTTGAGGAAACATTTCAGATAAAAAAAATGCAAAAAGACAGACTGAAAATGAGTTTTTAGATGATGATATCCTAAGTCAATTTTTTCAAATTCAAGAATTGATGACCCAACAACACATTTTAGAGATAAAAGTAATTCGTGTTCTTATCCTGTGAACCATGCAACCGGAAGGAGCTTTCAATATTTTATAAGACATGAAATATTTTACAAAATCCTGAGCCATTTTAAGAAAACAAGTGATATGTTCTGGTCTCTTGTATATTTTACATAAAATGCTTGCTATAATTTTAAGTCAACAGATGCTAAAGTGAATATATATACAAATGTGAACTGAAGAAAATGCATGGGGTAAAGATGAAAAACTAGCAATCATCTGCTTCTCCAAGCATTGATGATGCCATTTTCTTCTCTCTTCAGCTATCTATAGGTATAGCAAGCTGGTACAGTTCTTTATTCCGTTTTTGAGATACTAGGTATTGTTGGAGAGGGGCAGAAGTGGAGTTTGGTGCTGGGGATTGAACTGGGGTGGACTGCATGGAAGGAAGCAGCTTATCTCCTATACTATCTCTCTAGCTTCTGGCATGTTTTCTAAGACACAATTAGTGTAATGAGGTGAATGAAATGGATGGATGAAACTTAGAGATCAGTGCTGGGGCCTGGGACAGTGCAAGCCCCAGGAATGAGGCAGTGACCAATAGATAATAGGTGAAAAAATTTTTTTCTTTAATCCCCCCTTCTGCACACACACACACACACACACACACACACACACACACACACACACACACACACACACCCCAAATCTATCAATAATTTAGGGGCTATTCCTGACTCTGGCAGTGCTTAGGGTGAAGGATGGTGACGCTCATTGGTTGCCAAGGATCAAACAGTGCTCGGTTGGTCACAAAGCTAGTGCCTTAAACTTCTGTGTTATCTCTCCAGCTCCCAAATGTTTGCTTGTTTATTTATTTATTTATTTATTTAAAGACCTTGACCATCTGGAAAGAAAAGTACTGTGACTGGGTTGGGACAGCTGTCTTCAGGAATTTGCGAGAACTGAAGTTAAGGTTGTGGTACATTTTAACACCCAAAATAAAAGGAGTGGGCAGATCAGGATGAGGAAGAATGTATCGGACAGAGGAAGCAAAGAAAGAAAAAGGAGTGAGGGGAATCCTTTCGGTTCCTTTTTTCCTGTCTTCATAGAAATCTTGATCTTAGTCATTTTTAAATGCTCACTCTCCATTTGTAGTTGCCTGGTCAGGTACAAATTTTTGTTGGTTTGATTCTGGATTTCTGGGCCAGATCTAATTGTTCTTGGCAAACCACTTGGTTTAGGGGATGCAAATGTGGGATTCCCACATGCTAAGCAAGTGCATACTCCAGGTCTTTGAGTTCTCTCCTCACAAGTTAGGCTGGTCTGTCTCTTTCTCTCTCTCTCTCTCTCTCTCTCTCTCTCTCTCTCTCTCTCTCTCTCTCTCTCTTTCTCTCTCACTCTCACTCTCTCTGTCTCTTGTCTCTCCTTCCTTCTTTCTTTCTTTCTTTCTTTCTCTGTCTCCTTTCTCCTTTCTTTCTTTCTTTCTTTCTTTCTTTCTTTCTTTCTTTCTTTCTTCCTTTGTTTTTAGCAAAAGAAATTTAGATTAGTGTGAGAGTAGAGAAAGAGAGGAACACCTGTTCAAAAGAGAACAGGGATGGCTTTGATTCTTTGCTGCCTCTTTGGGAATGATCCTGCAGACTTGGAAGGTCTTTGGAGGTGAGGGACAATGGACAGCACCGCAAAGTCCTCATCAATATGCAGTTATGAAAGCCAGACACGTGGAGAGTATATAGTTTTTAGATTAAAGAATAAAGGATGTTTTTCTGATGAGGGATGAGAAACAGGTAGAGTGTTGCTGAGTTATATTGTGGTTTGGGACTTGCTTTTAAAGTTCCATCAGAAAGGCCAGTCATACCTGCTGTCTAGGATACTGACTCATATTGGCCACTTACTGGTCCATGTTCCCAGTAAGTCATGGAGGGAGGGAACCGAGTTGCAAATCACAGCTCTGGGAAGGATCTCCTTTTGCAGAAGGATGATACCATGAATACTCAATTCGCTGTGTCAACAGTAAAAAAAAAGGGAAGGAAAAATCTAGAGTTGCAGTTGCCTATGTCTTTTCCTTAGCTTTGTGAAATTTCATCATCGTTCCCAGTTTCATAGGCCAGAAATTCACAAAATGAAATTGATAATGCAAATTAAAATGACCTCAAACTCGGCTCTCACATACTCAAGGCAACCAATTGCTCTGCCGCTGAGCTATATCCCCTGAACTAGGAGATACTTTTAAAATATTCATGCTTGTGGAAATACATTTGCTTTTCGATGCTCCCAGAGTCTTCCTTGAAACAAACCCAAGAGAAGCCAGGTAAGTCGCTGTTCCCTGCTCATTAAAGGAGAGTCAACGTGCTGATGCTTCCTAATTGAACTCTTATTACACAGCCTCAGAAAAACTGGATGGCTAGCATGGTAAAAAAAAAAAAAAAGAAAAAAAAAAGAAAAAAAAAAGAAGAACAAGAAGCTTTGACTTTGGAAAGGTCTTCCAAAGGTTCTTTGGAGATTTTTACGCCAGAGACTGAAGTCCCAATCAGGACTGAATATTGGACTGGACAGAAAAGTGAACCCAAATAGAGCAACTGATTTCTCTCTTCCCCAAACCAAATATACATATATATGTATATATGTAGGTATATATGTGTATATACATATTTGAGAGAGTGTATATATAATACGCTGGAGCGATAGCACAGCAGGTAGGGCATTTGCCTTGCATACGGCCCACCCACCGAACCAGGTTCGATTCCTCCGCCCCTCTCGGAGAGCCCGGTAAAGCCCCGGTAAACGACCGCATCTCCCCAGCAGGGCAAAGCCTGGCAAGCTACCCGTGTTCTATATGCCAAAGCACAGTAACAAATGTCACAATGGAGATGTTACTGGGCCCCTTCGAGCAAATCGATGAACAACGGGAGGACAGTGACAGTGATATACATATGCATATATATATATATACATATATGTAGTTATTGTTAATGCTCGATGAGTCTTGGTCGCCAAAAATATGTTCTGGCCACAAAAGTCTTGGTTATAAAGTCGCTTAAACTTGAAGTCTATGTGGTGAATCCCATGTGCTTTGATCTTTCAGATAGAACTTGGCACCTGAGCACAATGTACGGCCCGAAGCACTATCCGATTCCACTGTGCACGTGATATTTAAGAAAAAAAAAAAACCAACAAAAAACCCCCAACCAAACCCAGTAGGGCTCCGGGAGAAACGGGAATCGGCGTGTAGCGGGAGCCCCTCGCAGCAGCCCGTCCCCCTTCCACCACGCACTCTCTCCTGCCAACGGGTCGGCTCACCTGCACGGGGCGCAGCCCCCGGGGGTGCCGGGGCTTTTGTCTCCCGAGAACAAAAGATGGGTGCAGCCGCTAGCCCGAAGGCACGACCCGGACCGGGGGCTGGTGGCCTGGGTGGCGGTGGGGACAAGGGTGGGGGGGTATGGGTGGGAGGGAGCTGAGCCGCGCCGCCCGCGGGCCCCTTTAAGCGCCGCGCCCGGCCCCGCCGCGCGCGCGGGTCCCCCCCACCCGGCTCGGGCCGCGCCTCCCGCCGGGTTACGTGGGCGCGGGGCGGGCGGCCGCTGGGCCAATGGCCGCCGCCGGGGCGGCCGCTCGCGCCGCTCCCGCCGCTCCCGCCGCTCCCGCGGGGGGAACTGTCAGCGCGCGCCCGGCGGCGGCGGCAGCGGCGGCGGCGGCCCCGCTCCGTTGCCCCGAGCGCTCCCCGGACTCCGTCGGCCGCGATGGCCCCGCGGCTGCCGCCGCCGCCGCCGCCCGCGCGCTGAGCCGCCGCCGCCCGCCCAGTGCCCGGTGGCGGCCGCCGCGGCGTCATGGCCCCGACCCTGCTCCAGCGGCTCTTCAACAAAAAGGGCAGCGGCGGCGGCGGCGGAGGCGGCGGGGGCGGAGGCGCGGCGGGGGCCGCTGCCCAGAGCCGGGCGCCCAGGGAAGGACCCGCCTTTAGGTGAGGCGGGGGCGGGGGGCGCCGGGGGTGCTGGTCGTGGGGGGCGATCCTGGCGCGGGGCGGGGCGGCGGGACCTCCCCCCTACATCTCCCATCCGACCTCCCCGCCCCGCTCCCCTGTGCGCTTCCCGGACGTGGCAGCGCATCGCGTGCACCCGGGTGCCCCCCAGCCTGGTCCTCGGGGTGGGGGGTGGGGGTGCCCGGTGCGAGTGTGCCCCCCGAAACCCCGGTGACCGGGGTGGGGGTGGGGATCCCCTTCTTCTCCCTCTCTCTCTCTTTCTCTCTCTTCCTCTCGCTGTCCCCCACCCCTCCTGCAAGTCAAGGGTTCGTTCCTCCTTTCCAAGAGTTCTCCGGCTGGCCGGGCCGATTGCAGGCGATTTTTTTTTGGGTGGAGAGGTGGGTTTCTCTGAACCCCTTCCCGGCCGAGCCTCCTGGACGCCCCTACGGGCGCCGCCAAGCTGGGAGCTGTCATTTCTTTCATTTCTTTCTTTCTCCCCCCCCCCCCTTTTTTTTCCCCCCTGGGCAGATCCCACCTATTGTGTACGTGACAGTGTTTGGAAGTTGGGAAGGCGCAACAAGCCCCGGGAAGGCAGGCTAGCTCTCTTCCTGCGGGCTTGCTGTAATCCCCAGCTCTCTCACATGGGCGAATGCAAGTCTGTAATTTCCACATCACTCTCGGAAGGTCGATGCCGCATGAGGAGTGCTGCTTGGGGGTGGCGGTGGGGGTGGGGGTGGGTGTGGGTGTGTGTGCGCGCAGCAAAAGAGATGCCCACTGAAATGGGTGAAATTTGCAGTTTAACCAAGCTGATGCATGTGTGGAAGCAGATCCGACGGGAGTCCATCCCTTTGCAGAGTAGGAGCGTGGTTGTTATTATTATTATTATTATTATTATTATTTGCTATCTTCTGAAATGCATTTAGGTTGGAGTCTCACGTTTGTTTCTCTGAACCCGGCGTTGGGGGTGGGGATGGGGTGTTGTTATAATTCCCATTTTACAGGCCGGGAAACAAAACCACGTCAAAGTTGGACAGTTTGCCCCACCCGAACCCTCTCCCCGCCCCAACTCTGCCAGGTAGAGTGCTTATTTTGACCCCAGTAGATTCATCACAAAATGCAGTCTTCAGACTCTTACGCATTCTGCTCACAAGCGCTAACTTTTCAAAGAAGCTTCAAAATGTCATATATTGACTTTCAGCACACTTCAGTTGAGAAGCTCATTTATTTACCTTTCACTGCCGCTCCGCCCCCCACTAAAAATGCGGCTTATGTTTCCAACTCTACCGGGGATAGGTGGTTTTGGCTAAAATATTTTAAAATGTCTTGCGAAGACAGTTTTATTAGGAACCAAGTTGAGACCCAGTATAATAAACTTTTAAAAATGTACGTGTGAAACTTTGAATAAATTGTGGCTTAAAGATTTATGTTCTAGATTTTGCTTTTCTTGAAATCAGTTTATTTAAAATATGCACACACAGCCTCTCACTTAGTATGTGAACATTATCTTCCATTAGCTTATGCTTGTGGGGTGTTTGTGTAGAGGGTTATGGGGGTGTTTGCAAGGTAAGTTGTGAGGACTTTAAAGTACCAGAGTTAAATTCTCATATTTCCTTTAGACTCACCCAATCCTTATAATTTGGGAGGGGAATTGTATTCCTTTCACCTCTGAGTAGGAGGGATGCTAGGTTTCTTCTCAGAGTGGTAGAGAACTTGAGATTCTGAGCATATGATTTCTTCTCCTCATGGCCAGTAGCCCAGAGCCAGCGGTAAAAGGCATGTGGGTTACAGGTGTTTTTATGTTGGCACCTCTTGTCCAGGACATTGAAATCCATTTTAATGTTAGTGCAGATAGGTGACTTGCACTGTTAATGTTTCCGGTTCAGTCTGCCCACTTGCCCATCACCATTTCCTTCATCCACAAGTTTAATTGAGTGCATGTTGAACAACAGGGAAAAAAAATGTGGTTATATTTAGGGTCTGGCCATATTAGGAAAATTCATTCCTACTTGGTGGGAACATTTTCAGTTTAACGTTCTGATTTCCCAACGGTGTAAAATGATGAGCACAACCACATGCCGAAGACCATTTTTTTTCCTTTGTTTGTTTTCCTTGACCTTATCAGGATTTTTGACACATTTTTGAGATACTGTAATTGTCCTTCAGTGAACTGAAGATCTCTGAATCTCCCATTGGGCACTGAATCTCTGTACCCAGTTGAACACCTCACCTGAGGAGGGCCCTTCACAAGCATCCCTGCTAGCGATCACTCTGGAAAAGAGAAATAACAGATGCCATTAATGACCCAGGCAGATGGGGACAGCTCAGCCGGCGCACACCTGTCGTATCAGATGTGCCGATCTTTCCTTTCTCCTCTTCTCTTTCCCCCGGCCTAACTCTTTGTAGCCCGCCTGAAAAGCCTTTTGAAAAAAAAAATGCCTTTCTTCCCCTGCAATAGGATGGCATTGGACTTGATTTTATTCACATTTTACTAAGTAGGAGTTAGCAGGTATGTTTTTGGAGGGAAGGGGTTAGGGATGTTCTTGGAAGCCCGCTCTCTAGTTGAATAGCTTTTGAGAAGTTAAGGTAAAAACTGGGTTTTTCTAGCATGAATTTGGATTATTCCACACTTTAAAGTACAGAATGCCCCGAGATTTAAGGTCAAATTACCCCGAGATTTCAGCATTGGGGGACGTTTTGAAGCTTATGTTGCCATCTGGGGTGAGGGTGGGGAACTCAGTAAAAATAAGATCCAGCTCCTTTTGGTTTGTTTTTATGCTGTACCAAGTGTTTCTAAGGGCTTACTCGTGACTCTCTGTGCTCAGGGATCACTTCTGGTGGCTTCAGGGGACGAAATGGGGTACTGAGGGTCAAAACTGGGTCGGTCATCTGCAAGGAAAATGCCAAAACTGCTGTGGCATCTCTTCAGTCTTCAAGATCCAGCTTTTGATTTGCTTGTTTATATATATATATTTGAGTTGGAAGTCTGTTGTATCTTTTCTTTTTCCATGATGGACTTAGATTAGACTAGTTACTTGAAACTTCTCTCACGTTTTGCCTGTCCTCCTCAGGTTTTGTCCTAGATCTTATTCTGATCAATCATTAAAGTTCCTTGTCTCCTGGGGTTTCTTAGTATTCTCTTACTCCCCAGTTTTCACGTACTATAATTGATAAGAGGGAATGTGGCCAATGTATGTAACATGTAACAGGTTATTTTCAGACCTTCATGCTTTCTGACATTCAGTTTTAAAAAGAGTATCATTATGGCTGGAGAAATGGTGCCAGGTTCATGTCTCGCCTTCCACCCCCAGCACCATATATGGTCCCTTAAGTACCACCAGGAGTGATCCCTAAGCACAGAGCCAGGGCTAAACCCTATACACCACCAGGTGTGATTCACCCCAAAACTGAAAAAAAAAGTTTTTTTTAGAGAGTGGATCATAATAGTCAAAATTCTTTGTTAAGTATGTTAAGTATGTGTATTGACAAAAAGCTCTTTTCATGTCTATGAGGAAAGAGTTTGCTACAAAAGGAAAAAGGTATCAAATAGAGATTAAAGGTACATGTTTGCGAGAAGTTTGGAACTCTCTGATGATGCAGCTTTTTTTTTTTTTTGCATTTTGGGTCATACCCGGCAATGGACAGGGGTTACTTCTGGCTCAGGAATTACTGGGTTACTTCTGCACTCAGGAATTATTCCTAGTGGTGCTCAGGGGACTATATGGGATGCTGGGAATCGAACCTGGGTTGGCCGCATGCAAGTCAAACGCCCTACCTGCTGTGCTATCGCTCCAATCCCGATGCAGCTTTTTTAAGCTTTTGTTTCCCCTCTCTCTCCTGACCCCTTTCTTAAGCTATTTGTAATGATATAAAATTGCACTGTGATCTTTGAAATTGGAGGAAATAGAAGTCTCTATTTGCTGGTCTTCAGAATGCTTTCACTTTTAATTAATTATTGCACGTGTGTGTGTGTGTGTGTGTGTGTGTGTGTGTATGTGTTTGAGTAACCTTTTCCCAAGAGAAGCATATTAGAACAACGGGAGATTATTTATCAGGTGGCTTAACCCAAATGCAGAATTGGATTTGATTACCTTGGATTTAAGGTCAGCATGTTCCGCTCGGAATTTTTATTTGTTCTGTTTTGTTTTGCTGGAGCCCGGGGCCTCATACACACAGATCCTGTTCTTTACCCGTGACTGATGTCCTTGCTCCACCAGGAGTTCTTAAACACCATATAATGCCCAGTGATATGGCTATGTGATGGACGTCTGAAGTTTTGTTGAAAGTGTTTTTATATGTCTGTTTGTTTGTTTTGTTAATGTCTCTGCTAAAGGACTGGAGAGATAGTATAGGGGTTAAGATACTTGCCTTGCATGCAGCTGACCCTGGTTAGTTCTCTGGCACCACATATGTTCCCCCAAATACCAAGAGTGATCCCTGAGCACAGAGCTAGGAGTAAGCCCTGAGCACAATTTGGTGTACACGCCTCCCCCAACCCCTTCCTTCCCAAACCCCTCATCGCTCTCATTCTGATGAAACAGGACAAGACTGATATCATTCTTCCTTCAGACAGTGAAGAAACTCTCTTCATACAGTTTCCTTGCCTCACTGCCAGCTCCTAGAATGTTAGCTTTTCAGAGCAGTTTTCTTTTCTGAAGTAGGGTGGAACACAGTCTTGCTCCACTCCGAGTTTTAACTTACATAACCCAGCACACGTGCCTATGTGCAAATAACAGCTTTGATTTCCATAACTACTTTGCAAAACCCTGTGAGCCCCCCCCCCCTTCCACCTGCTCCCTGTTTTGGATGAATCGGTGTACCTGGGACATACTATCTCCTTGTCCTAAAACATGGGGAGTGATTAGAGATCTTTGGCACAGGTAAAGGAGGAACTGTTCCATTCAAAATGGTGGGCTCTGTTAAAAACCTAGTTGGGGGGGGGGGTTGGGATGTAGCTCGGGACTTTGAGCATAATGCCTGGCGTGTAGGAGGTCCTGGGTTTTATC